CTATGTTCTATTTTTACTAATAGGGACCATGTTGGTTGTAGGGCAGGGTCATCGGATACATTTTTTTCAATCAAGATACTCTAATGATAATTGTGGCTAAGTTTAATTCCATTTGGCCAAGTAGATTAAAGAGAAGATTTTTGTAAAAGATAAAAAAAAAATACGAAAAATAGTGAATAATTGACTTTAAAGGGCAGTAACTCCTTAAGGGGTCAATTGGCAATGTTGGTCATGTTGACCTGATAAAATTTTTAACCCCGTTAGATTTGCTCTAAATGCTTTAGTTTCAGAGATATAAGCCAAAAACTGCATTTTACCTCTATGTTCAATTTTTAGCCATGGCGGCCATCTTGGTAGGTGGGCGCGGTCATCGGATACTTTTTTTTTTAAACTAGATACCCTAAGGATGATTTAGGCCAAGTATGGTTTAACTTGGCCCAGTAATTTCAGGAAAAGATGTTTGTAAAAGATTGCAAAAATTTACAAAAAATTGTGAAAAATTGACTTTAAACGGCAATAACTCCTTAAGGAGTCAATTGACAATTTTGGTTAACTTATTTGTTGATCTTACCTTGCTGAACATTTTTGCTGTTTACAGTTTATCTCTATCTATTATAATATTCAAGATAATAACCATAAACTGCAAAATTTCCTTAACATTACCAATTCAGGGACAGCAACCCAACAACAGGTTGTCCGATTTGTCAGAAAATTTCAGGGCAAATAGATCTTGATCTGATGAACATTTTTATCCCGTCAGATTTGCTATAAATGCTTTAGTTTCAGAGATATACGCCAAAAACTACATTTTACCCCCATGTTCTATTTTTAGCCATGGCGGCAATCTTGGTTGGTGAGCAGGGTCATCGGATACTTTTTTAAAGAAGATACATTAAGGATGATTTAGACCAAATTTGGTTTAACTTGGCCGAGTAATTTCAGAGGAGAAGATTTTTGTAAAAGATTACAAAAATTTACGAAAAATTGTGAAAATTTGACTTTAAACGGCAATAACTCCTTAAGGAGTCAATTGACACATTTGGTCATTTAATTTATTAGTAGAACTTACTTTGCTGAACATTTTTGCTGTTTACAGTTTATCTCTATCTATTATAATATTCAAGGTAATAACCAAAAACTGCAAAATTTCGTCTGAAAATTTCAGGGCAGATAGAACCTGACCTTGGTAGGTGGGCGCGGTCATCGGATACATTTTATTTAAAACTAAATACCCTAAGAATGATTTAGGCCAAATATGGTTTAATTTAGCACAGTGGTTTCAGAGGAGAAGATTTTTGTAAAAGTTAACGACGACGACGACGGACGACGGACGCCAAGTGATGAGAAAAGCTTACTTTGGGTCAGGTGAGCTAATAAGTCGACGAGTAAATAGATATGTATTACATTTGATGCAATGTTATAATATCAATTTCATATATTTAAGACCTACTGACAATAGTTTTGAATAGTTAGGGCGTCATTTACGTCGACACTGTTGTTAAATGACACAACTATTTCAAAATACAAAATGTAAATCTGTTCAGCCAATCTTGACAAACAATTTGAAAAAAAATGTCACTTTCCAGTAGACATTTTTTGTTAGTTGCATGATAACAACCGTTGGTAGCAATTAATCATTCAATCCAGCAATAAATGTATAGGTCAATAGAAGAGAAGTAACACCCTGCCACATTGCTTATTGTTGATTCTAAAATATGTTTTGTATATGGAATATAATTATGTCCGATACGAAAGCGAAAACATATTTCATTGAGTATCATAAATGATTCATAAATGACATCAAAAATTAACAAAAGGTGTTTATAATGACAGCTTGAGGGCTATTTCTCATTTTAAAAAAGCTACAATAGAACAAAAAGTTCAATTTGATGGTATTATTTACATTTAAAACATTCATTAATTTGACTATTCTTTCGACCCTAAATTCTATACTACGGTATAAACATATGTTCACGTGGACTTCTCCCATGTAAAACCCTCGGGTTTGATGCATAAATACGCATAGATCTACCTTTAAGCATTGTAATGTGAGAATGTCACGTTCTCTGACTTTTAAAACACATAGATCTTTACTTATATGCAGGTTAACTCTAGCAAAGAATAATTTCGACCATTACCTAAAATACTCCCTTTTTCAATTGACAGTTTAATTCCAACTCTATACCGGTCAACCCACTAGACAGATTCCATCATTGTGTATTTGTTATGGTCCTGAATACTAATGAAATAGTTGTCACTGAACAACAACTAATCAATTCATCAATTTTTATCAGCAATTTTAGCATGACCTGTGGTCCAGGTGTCGATGATCCTAATTCGTGCTCCCGGACTAGTAGAACACAGAAATGCTATCGATACAATGGTGAAACGAAATGTGAGGTAACAACTTACTCATGTCAATCTATGTGTTGTCCAGGTTGGGATTTAGGCATGCAGGGAAAATGTGACGTACGTGAGTATACACATGACAGACAAGGTCAAGTATTTAGAAATAAGAAATGATATTTAAATTCAGTTCATATGGTGCTAAAATAAATCCCTGTCTGTAGTATAAATAAGCTCGTTTTCAATCATATTTCATGTATCTGTAACAGTTGTGGGTTTGCTATGAGCAAATGCATTTTCCATTATAGTATATTATGTTTTGTTTTGCTGGTTTATTTAAGGGATAAGTTCTCCATTACTATGTATATTTAAGGGGCATGTTCCTCATTACTATGTATATTTAAGGGGCAAGTTCCTCATTACTATGTATATATAAGGGGCAAGTTCCTCATTACTATGTATATATTTTGCAAATGATTTTGTGTCTTTGCATTTACTTTTATGGCTATCAAGCTTTTGTATTGAATTTATTCTAGGTCATTTTTTTAATTCTAGTTACAATTTACTTTATTCTAAATTGAAAAAAAGTTTCGTAAATATATTTTACATTGTGTCGTTGCTTGGATGTACTGAATATATCTTATACCTTGCCTTTTAACTTGTCATATTTCAAAATAAATGAATTATTTCACAGCAATCAAGAATTTTCAATGCTCAGAATCACTAATCAACAGTAGCAAAATACACGGAAGTGAATACTGCTTAGACAATACTTATTGTAAACAAGGAGAAGTGTGCTGCTCAAACTATTGTACACGTATACATTTGTCTCAACACCACTGTTGGTATCGTAATATATATCAGACTGTAGGAGAAACAAACACAACGACCAATGATGTATGTACTCTGTGTAGCTGTAATACTGATGGTCCAATAGCAACGATGGAATGTGAGAAATCTACATGTAACTGGGACAATCAGACAGGTAATTTAATTTGAATTAGAATTTCGAAAGTCATCAAAACAATACCTATCAAAAGATAAAAGAATATATGCTGTGGGGTTAGACACCAACCAGAAGATATTTTTTTGGGTCACATTTACTTTATATAAGTACTATGATTGACATAAAACAATTGAGCAATTGATGCACCGAGAGGCGATACGCGTGTTAGCCAACAAATCAAAATATTTTCTCAACGTCAACGAAAACAAAACAAACAGTATAAAGAGAATAGATTGCCTTTCAAATATTTCAGAAATTTGCTAAACATGTACTATAATATAAACCATATTTCCTACGAATTAACATATTTAAACAAACGAATCCGAAGTATTAATCAAAATAAACCAATACTATTAAATACTTTTCCCTTATTTTTTGTAGGGTTAGTGAATGGTTCTCATTTAAAATTATATTTATACAAATTCTTTTAGGATTATTACCAAACACTAAAGACAACAAAAGTTTTACAAATGAATTTGTGTTTGCTCTCAGTAAATCTTTTTAATCAGTTTCCTAAATAGTTGAGATTATTCTAGCTTTCAGAAAAAGGGTTCAAGCTAAAGCCATGGAGTAACATCAAAATAAACATGTTGTGTCATAGCTAAAGTCAACCTATGGTCCTCTTAGATTCTATGGTAGGGTGTCATGTCATGTTCAGTTATCTAAGTTTGATACAACATCAAATTGTAGATTATTGAATGATAACACCTTCAACATCCGTGCAAACTAATTTATTCCGGATTGTTTGCATATAGGCATCCAGTTCTAAAAAATAAAGACTATAGTTATAACAATGAATTAATTTTAACACAGGTTCGTTTTCTTTATTTTGCAGATATTCCAAACAACTATAAGCGTGAGTTGACCATTTTGCTTAGACTAACAAATTTGTTTTTAGAGAATTTTGTATGTACACAACACAAGTACATTATCTGTTACATAGTAAATTGTGTTTTTGCACTTATATACGTTTCCCAGCTAAACGGAAAAAAAGTGCTGTGACAAAAATATGAAACTTGCATATTTTGGATTATTCGAATTCGCTTCAAGTTATTTGAAAACGTCCATAAAAGAAATCTTAATCAATTAAACAATATAAACTTTTATCGGAAATGCATCGATTAATTAAACAATTAAAACATGTAAGTGTGCATGATAGTTTAAAATGGGGGAAATTGTCTTACATTTTTTACGCCTACCATAAAAGTAAAATAACAAAAATATTGAACTCCAAGGGAAATTCAAAACGGAAAGTCCTTTATAAAATGGCAAAATCAAAAGCTCAAACCCATCTAACGAATGGAAAACAACTGTCATATTCCTGACTTGGTACAGGCATTTCCTAATGTAGAAAATGGTGGATTAAACCTGGTTTTATAGCTAGCTAAACCTCTCACTTGTATGACAGAATTCCATTATATTGACAACATAATGCATTAAGCAAAAAAGGTAATAAAAAAAAGTTACCAGATACCAAGTATCGGAATCGGCCAAATAATTATCGTTAATCATATTCAGATTTAAGTATAATGTCAGTTTTTAGATACATAGCTTTATATCAATGAAAGTATTATCATGACATACAATATTGATATTCTTTTGTATATGATTGTTTGTATAAATTCCATATGCATCATTACAGCTCCAATTATACTAAATATACCAAACAAAGGACAGAAGGTACCTGTGTATATTTTGAGTACAAGAAACACAGCATATCTTGATACTAGTTTTATTTATGCTCTGGACTTTGAAGGAAACATGATGAAAGTCGATGTATCAAAGAATTTATTTAGACACTGTCTATGTGCTAATTCCACCGAGTCCGTCATTGCTAAATCAGTACCCGACAAGTTTGGAAATTATAATGAAACCACCTTCCAGATTAATATTATCGGTAAGTTTGATAAACTATTATTATTAATATATATATACGGTCTTCATCAATATACAAGTTCCCATTACACAGAGGAGGAAAAATGAAATAACAGAAACTTTCTAACACTATGATACTGACATTAAGAATAAAATCTAAGAAGAAGTAGAAGCATAGATCTTTCACTGTCTTGACTTAAAAAGAATTTTAAGAGTATGTGTGATAAGTGTAAGATTACAAATTCTATAGGCCTCCCAACTCACCACAGTATTTGTTGAATCTTATAGAGTATTCTTTTGAGCTAGCTTCAGATACTGGCATTGTGACCATCTTAATTGTTAAGGCGATTTTAATGACGACCAAATAAATCCACAATCTCCGGCGCAGAGCTCACATCCGTTCCGTACTTACTTCGTATCACTACACTTAATATGACGTCATTGTATTGTAGTGTACTGAGTATACGGAAAGGAAACGAGCGCTGTACGGAGATTGATAAATCCACGGCAATCTAAGAAGATAATTTGTAGAGGAACCTACCAATTTTTGTGAAAATTCAGCATCTATTATTGATTTGGTTTTAAGTAATAACTCGAACACAGTCAACTTGGTCCATGTAGGCCAACCGTTTCTTCCCGCTAATATCAGATTTCACTCTCCTGTTTATGGTATACTTAAATTCCACAAACCGTCAAGTACGTGTTTCAAACGCAAGATATGGTTGTATGACAGAGGCGACTACGACCTTCTCCGTAGGATGCTTTCAGATGTTTACTGGAACGATTTTATTGAATCTAGCACTAATGTCGATTCGCTTGTCGAGAGATTTTCTGAACGGCTATTAATAGATTTTGCTTCAAAAGCTATTCCAGATAAAACTATTACAGTCAGGAAAAGCGATCCTCCGTGGATGAATAATTACATACGCAGGACTATTAGAAAAAGAAATCGTATTTATAAAAAGGCGAAAAGGGCAAATAGTCTCGAAAACGGGCTACAATTTCGCAGAATTCGAAACAAAACTGTAAACGTAATACGGAACGAGAAGACAAAATTCTATGACAAATTGATCGAAAAGCTTAGAACGACGATGTCTCCAACCAAAGTTTGGTGGAATTTAGCCTACCAAATACTAGTAACCAACTTAAAATCTCGAGACATGAATATCCTGCCTATCAATTTAAACAGCTCCGTATTTGATGACGATAAACAAAAGGCCGAGGCATTCAATGACGATTTTGCGTCACAGTCTTATATCGATGATAGCAACAAATTACTGCCTGAGGAGGACATCCCTCCAGATAGACGATTAAGTAATATCTTTCTCGAAACGTACGAAGTTAAAGACATTCTTCAAACTCTAAATGTCAACAAGGCCTCGGGGCCTTATGCTATAAGCGGTCGTATTCTCAAGCCTGTTGCCGATATTATAGTAAAACCATTACGCGCTATTTTCAACTTAAGTCTTAGAACAAAATTGTTCCCATCCACATGGAAGCTAGCTAATATAATTCCTTGTTTCAAGAATGATGATAAAAGCATCCTTAGTAATTATCGTCCAATATCTCTTCTCTCGGTGATGAGTAAAGTTTTCGAGCGTTGTGTATATAAGCACTTATTTAACTTCATACGAGTTTTGATTACTGAGCACCATTCTGGTTTCATGCCTAACGATTCGACAAGAAATCAGCTCTTATATATTTGTAACGTTCTTAGCAAAGCCCTAGACGAAGGCAAAAATATTAGGTTCATATTTTTCTATATAAGTAAAGCATTCGACCGTGTGTGGCATAGGGGATTGCTCTATAAGCTGCAAATGATGGGCATTGTTGGTGACCTCCTCCTGTGGCTTAAGGATTACTTGTCGAACAGAAAACAAAGGGTTGTTATAAACGGAGTAGAATCGTCCTGGGCTGATGTAAATGCTGGAGTACCCCCAGGGTTCAATTCTTGGGCCCTTGTTGTTCTTCATTTATATCAACGACATTATAAACGAAGTAAGCTGTAAGATTAAACTACTCGCGGACGATACATGCATTTATGCTGTTGTAGATAATCCACTAGTTTCATCGATTTCTTTAAACTACAACTTGCGTAAAATATATAGCTGGGCGGATAAATGGTTAGTAAATTTTAATCCGTCTAAGACAGAATCCATTGTATTCTCACGGAAAAGCGATTCGGAACCAGATTATCATCCACCTTTGAATATGAATGGCGTCATAATAAAAAGAGTTCAGACTCATAAGCACCTAGGAATAACTTTCTCGAGTGATGGTAGATCTACATGGAATCATCACATCGAAAACATTACGTCAAAGACATTACCTCGACTAAACTTACTGCGTCACCTAAAATTTAGGCTTGACAGAAGATCTCTTGAAAATATGTATTTTAGCTGCGTACGCCCATTACTTGAATATGTTGATGTTGTCTGGGATAACTGTCCCGAATACTTAAAAACCAAGCTTGAACATATAAATTACGATGCTGCACGCATCGTTACTGGTGCAACAAAACTTACCAGTCTACGCTTACTTTTTGCAGAATGCGGGTGGGAGACTCTTCAACAGCGAAGAGATAAGCATAAACTTCTACTTTTTCATAATATGGTGAATGGAAAGACCCCATGTTATCGAAATGATATTCTACCAGATCAGTTTAGAATTATACACCAGTATAGAACTCGTTACGCTAATAATTTTCCATCAGTACCCTGTCGAACTACTTATTATATGAATAGTTTCCTTCCATCTTCCAGTTCGACTCTGGAATAGCCTTCCCCCAGATATAAAAAGTGCTGGTTCTATCGCTCCACTAAAAGCCTTTCTGAAGCCAAATCATTCTATACCAAATTATTATTATGCAGGCAGTAGACTAGGTCAGATATATCATGCCCGAATCCGTACCGAGAGCAGTAGTCTTAGAGATCACTTGTATCAGAAAAATTTGGAATCGGACCCATTTTGTAAATGTAAACAGATAGAAAACTCGGAACACTTCATTCTAAACTGTCCCATTTATCATCGAACTCGTGAAGCCCTTTTTGTTAACCTAGTTGGTACACTTAACATAGATACGTTACTTTATGGTGATCCGAACATTACAGATATAGACAATAAAAACAACTTTCTTATTGTCCAAAACTATATATTGAAAACTAAGAGATTCACAAAATAATTCTTGTTGGCTCAACAACATGTCACCCAATATTATAAAATTACTATCTGCATTAGATGTTAATTTCCATTACATTTGTTTTCTTTTCATACGATATCATATTATATGATTGTATATTTTCTGTCCATTGTAATTAAGTTTGCCGTTCAAAAGCAGAGGAATTTGTATAAGTTACTTGTCACTTGTTTTCCAATCCATGTATTGTATTGGTGTACGTATTTATTTATCTGTTTCTAAATAAAATATTGTTTACACTAAGATTACAAATTGACTTCAATCCTGCTATAAACTAGACTCCGTGACTAAAATGTTGCTGGTATGAAGATTAAGATCAATTAATGATAAGCTGTATGAAAAGTATACAAAAATGACATGAATTTCTTAATGTTTTACTAGAAAGGTATTCGGGAGGTATTCTTTTAAAAACATGCTGATATATATAAAGGTTACTGGGCATACACTTTTTAATGGTGGGGAAAATTCACAGAGACAAACCATTAGGGATAATGCTCAAATCATGAACGTACAATAATTTAGTTGAGTGCATTTAGAAGAATATTGTTTAAAGTGATTTATCAAAATATTTCAAACTTATTTAAATTTTGTAGATAGATTCGAGCCAGTTTTCCACAACTGTCCACAAAATAGGGTTATACAATCAAATGACATGTTTGGATGGACAGCTCCTACCGTTACTGATAATGTTGGTGTGCAAGAAATTGATGGACCCGTCTTACCACAAAGAAACAAAACCAATCTAGTGCCCGGGACTTACACCATGATCTATAAAGCCAAAGACTGGTCAAATAATACTGCAACATGCTCGTTTACAATAAGAGTCATGGAGCCACCAGGTATCTTACTTTTTTTAGATTCACAAAAAAAAAAAAAACTGAATTCGATTTTTTTGTGTCAAAATATACACGTTACAACATTTTAATACACAACAAAATTTTTTCAATGCAACTTCAATGGTCGTTTTCTCGAAAATAGTAAAATAAACGAAACATTCTCTCTCTTCAATTCATGCACCTCTTCCATTTTTCTCCTCCTAAAAGTATGTCTGTGGACTGTCTAATGTTATATATAAGGAAGTTATACGATTGTCTTTCTTCAAACTATTTTAAAAGTTGTTCAAAACAGCTACAAAATGTCATCTGATTATATTGCATGATAATTTTTTTTTCTTTTTTAAAATTAGACGTGACTCCAAGGCCGAAGCATGAGCATAAAATAAGTATTACCTTACTGTTAATTATTGGTAAGTACATTGTTAATATAACATACAAAGTTTAGAAGAAATAAAAAAAACCACTTTTTAAATTTCGAATGATCTCTTTAGCAGAGGTCAATATGAAAGTCGGGGAGGTCATGCTTTATCGACTGTAGTGAGGTTATGGTCAAATAATAGAATTCTGGAATATTCGATCCATATGTATTTAAGGACGAGACCGAACGATTGATAAACTACTTAGTTGTCCCCGACATTCTTAAAATTCAAGTAAGGACTGCTATTTTAATAAGCTGTCTTAGGTTTGATTTAACTTTGAAGAGTATTATATTATCTGCTTACTGCATGTATTAAAAGTATTGCTATCAAATGTAGCAGCACTCACAGCAGTAGCTAGCAGTAGTAGTCAAACGCAAACCAGTAGACCAGGCCTTGCGGTCATAAAACTTTCGAGCACGATTATTGTATCAGACTCAGAAATCAACCAATCAAAAAACTGGATTTGATGTTTCGAGCACAAAATTTGTACTCCGAGTAAAGTTTTACGACCGAGGGCCCAGTATACTCTTCAAAAAAGTGTTTTTTCACTATTTTTTGTAAATAAACTTCAAGATTACGCAGATAAAGGGTATTGCCTGTGTGATACTAAGTAAGCAATGTACGATAGCTAAAACAATTGGTTTGAATCGGAAACATTTTAAGTTCCTTCCAAAATAATTCATTGTAACCAATAGTTTTACAATTAACGTGCCAGATACTTGATCTAAAAAATGTTATTATGATTATTTAAATTTTGGTATGTCATAATTTTACAATTCATTTCAGGTGGAAGCTTAGTAGCTCTCGTAGTGATCGCATTAGTAGCGTTTTATGTATCCACTATGTGTCGTTTAGTGAAGACATATTCTGTAAACGAGAAAAAGAAGCTACCCTCTAACCAACATGGACACATTTACGGATCAGTGAAAGATGATAATAAATTATAAAAGAGTATTGAATTAAGTAGGCAGCAGAAGACGAAAGGGAAGATAATTCAGGAGGGAAATGACCATGACATAATGTTAAGGCATCAATAATAATTACTTTAATCCCAGTATTAAGAACACATGTACTCACTAAAATGATAAATAAGCTGTTTAACATTTGTATAAAATAAGTGTATACAATTACTAATTCTAGTATGAGACAATAAAATAACAGGAATATTGATAAAAGGAAACATCTTAAACTAAATTTTTATTTTATTAAATTTTATATAATGTCAATTGGAAAAATTTGAAATCAGTGAAACTGAAAGAAAAGTTTCAGTTCAGTTCCTGTATTACTACTTGGAAGTGTAGTTTAAACTTTTACTCTATTTAGCTTCAAATATGACCTCCCTCTGGTATTTTCCTTTCGAATTTTTTTTCCTACATTGGTACTTTGAAGTGCAAAACTTAACCTGTATTATAAAGAAATATAAAAACAACTTAAGGTTACAAACACCATAGGCACAATCAGCTATTTTTTAGGGACATATGCTTATGTAGTTTACCAGGCATTTATACATCACTGACAATGCTATCGTTTGACTCTGAATGTTCCTGATGAAGGTATATCGAAACTTTAAGGAATAAAGTAGTTTTACATTTTCCCGGCTTTAGGTTGGCTTTTGGTGTACACAAGGCAGATGAAGGAAGTCAACTTTGGAGCGCTGTCACGGTGATTGAATGTATGGATATATATATTTTTTTTATCTATTTATGAATAACTGCAGTTTATATTTTTTTTACAATAAATATTTTGAAACACAGGGAAATATTTTCTTGTGAATTAGTCGAAAAGGCTTCAAAAATTTCATTTTGATGTAAAATGACGGTGGCCATAGATACTATAAACAAGCTCCGTTCGAACATGGTCATGTCACCGTTTGACTTCAATTTCTAAAACAAAATAATAAAGTACTCATATCACACATAACTGTTTTGTCCAGCTTTTTATCATAGAAAGTGGTAAATTTTGAAAATGTAACTGTTGTCGCCTATGGAGGAAAAAAATAATACCGTTTTTCATTACTATGATTTCAACTTTTGAAAGATAAAGTTACTTCCCTTTGTACATGTCCGAAATTAATCCGACAAAATATACCTAATACAATCGGTGATAATCTCAGATGTACTTTTCTTTTTGTTGAAGATCGTATTTTAACATTTAAATGACTTTTAGTTTTTTGTGTCGTTGCTGTCTCAGTGATATTTACCTGATACAAACGGAAAGCAATAGTCGCACCACACGGAGGCTGTAAAAATTCATACCAGTATTTTTTTTATGAAACTTCATATTTGAAAATATGTTCCTCTCTTAAAACTAATATGCAGTATTTTACCATCATTTGTGTGCATTTTCTAAAGACATTTTTGATAAACTACAAGCCTTTTATTTAACATATTTCTTTGATTCCTCTGCAGGGTTCAATATTTTTAGGTTAACTTCCCCATACATGTATATAAGCAAGAAGTGGGAAAAGAAATTAGATTATGAAAAGAGGATAAAAGTCTGATGAATTTATAAGAATTTTATACTTTTACCTTATATACAATTGTAATTATAACAATGACTCAATATATTAGTCATTAAGGTCCGTATTTTTCAAGAACGGTGGTGTACTTTGGTAGCTTACAACGAAAAGGAACTTTGCCAGTACTACATTGTGTACGTGGCGAAAACATGTCAATCGAGGAATCCAGATTTGTGTACATTATATATTAAAAGGGTTTTTAACAATGGTGTACCAGAAAAGATAAAACGTACATGTATCACTCAATTTTATAGAAAAAATATATATTGTTTCAATTCTCGTTTATTGTTGAATTAATAATCATTATAATGGACGTGACGACTAATTTATGGGTTTGCTCTTGAAAGCATTTAATCGTTCGGTACAAGAACGTGCATATTGTCATATATTTTCGCTGATAACTTTGCCATTGATAAAGAATAGTTACTGTATGTATAATTCATAAATATTTTCCACAAATTAAATTAAATAAATAAATATTCAATTCAATTCAAATCCACATTTTGATGGTGGTCTTTAAAACAAAATTAAAAGTACAAAATGAACACAACACGTTATAAATTGCATGCGTCCAAAGCGCTTTTCTGATTCAGGACCGCTAAAACCTATAATTTAAAAGTCAGAGACGAATAAATATACAATATATGTACATTGTCGGAAAATATAAAATTTATTTGTATGAGCTTTAGAAACAGGACGAAAAGCGAGATTCGCCGAGCTTTTCTCCTGTTTCGCAGCGAGTACAAATACATTTTATATTTTCCGACAATGTACATATATTGTTTTTATCCTGAAATTTACACCCAACACTTGAAACTTTAGTTGTTAAAATCTAAATCATTGTCTCTAATTTTCAAAGAAATCGACATATTTTAAACGCGGACCGCGAAGAGGACCCCAAAATGAACTGATACGCAAAAAGAAATATCCACATTACCGCTTGCTCAACATGGAAGAGGGGTAACAGGAGACTTTATTTGTACACGTACAAATAAAGCAAAAATTTATTTGTGTACCTGTTATTTGTATAATAGTTGGCTGATTGCAGGATAAATACGTAAGAAACGTTAAGAACTATATCACCAAAAGGGACCTAAAAAAAATATCCAAAATCCTCTATGGTCAAGTTTGTATGCGATAGTTGGAACCTTAGTTTCTTAATCATTTCTTAATTTAAATTTGAACGTGATAAATCTTGTCTGTACCAAAGTACTAACTACTCAAGCAGTGGTTTTGGTTAAGTGCTAGTAAAAATAACACTTTATAAATTATGTGCTTCCGAAGCTCTCTGGATTTACCTTCTTTAAAAACGTTCAAACCAAAATATTAGAGAGCCAATTTCAAATTTGTCCGCCAAAGAAAGGAATAAAACATTTTTCTGTTATTTTTTTATCGGTTAAACAGAAAAAATGTTTCCATAACCCAAAAATTTTTGTTTTGGAAACGACATTATGTAAACCGGTGTAAATGATAGATCCTTGTCAAATCCAAGGGCTTTAAACAGTGCATTACAGACATCTATAAAGACTATTAGGATTTTGACTGTATCAATCTCATCAAACCCTCAATACATGTACCTAAAAGTTAACTAATAATCTCAGTTTCAAAATATTCAATGGCGTAAAAAGACAATATAAAGTATACTCTATCAACTTTAAAACAGTCTAATCAAAGTAATAACTAAAAAAATAGTCCGTTATATAGATATTTGTCTCACGTAAATTCAGAGTAAGATACTGCTTGAGCATATTTTCATATGTAGACGGTTCGATCTTTCAAACTGTATCAAATAAGTGAAACCTGAAATGTTCAACAAGTATTTACAGAAGGTTAGGACATTTTCGCTAAGGCTTCAAAGAGATATTTAGAATTTTGTAAATATTGTTAGAAATTTTAAGCCATTTAATTTCTTCTGGTCCGAATTGGAAATAAAATAATATTTGCAATGAAATATCAACATCGGTGTGTTTTACTTGTGTTTTATTTATGTATAAGTTGATTTTCGATTTATCAACGGCAAGATCAACTATAAGAAATAAGACGCCAGGATGGACCGTTAGGGAAGAGTATTGATTTCAAAAATTATCTAAATATAGTTTAATCATATGCCATTCAAGCCTAATATGTTTGGAAAGTAGAAATCTGAGCATTTTAGTAAAATATATCGATCTTTTAAGAATAGTCTAATGTAAACGGTAAATATCGATCTTTAGTGAAAAGTCTAATGTAAACGGGAAAGATCGATCTTTAGTGAAAAGTCTAGTGTAAACGGGAAAGATCGATCTTTAGTGAAAAGTCCAGTGTAAACGGGAAAGATCGATCTTCAATCGGACTAAAAATGTCTACCTCCATAGGTAGTTTTTAAAAGTTTTTTTTTTTTTAAATCGATCTTTCTTGAAACGTTAACGCTGAGATCGATCGTATTCGATCCGTCTAAAAGTAAAAGTGATATATTTAGATATGAAAATAAATCTGCGATTGTTCGGCGGCATCCACACACGTGTTTTAACAATACAATGGATAGGACAAGAAGAGAATCACTGAGTCTTAAACAGACTGTCATCCTAATTGCACCTAGGGGAGACCAATGTGTCCAGGATCAGATGGAAAAATACACCAACGAGAAACGGGGAAATTTTAAACGAATATATATATATACTAGAACACACCCGCGAAATCGCGGGCATTTAGAGCGTTGTTGATGGTATGTTAACTTTTGTACGATGAATTTTTGTAAAAGATTTTATGACTGGAGTATTTCAGGAAAGTTATCAAAAGTCAAAGGTACTTGGGGACAGTACAATTTTTTTAGCCCTCCCCCTTTTTCCAAAGTCCGTTATTTGTTTGTTGTTTTCTGTTAATTTCAATTATATTAGCGTTTTTTTCTGTACACTATGGACATACATAATAACATATACTATATAAATACAGTTTATTTGGTATTTATTATCAATCCATGGAATTAAACTTGGAATTGATAGCAAATAGCAAATACACTGTATTTATATAGTATACATGTATGTTTGTTCATAGTATATAGAAAAACGCGAAAATACTAATTGTCCTGTCCCCTTGTACCTATGAAAATAATGTGTAAGTTTAAGTCCTAAACGGAAGTCTTATCTATGACTTAAAAGTCAGTCCGAGGACGGAAACAATATCCGGACGTCTTTATTTTCGTTTTTCTCCCAAAAAAACCCAAACGAAATATTTATAATCGAGGATGACAAATGCAACTATGCATTGTACCTATAGGACATAAAAGCATGATGATTGATTTAATGTGGAAGGAAGAGAAGCGACACACAAAATGAAGTCTTCTCATTTAATAGTATAGATGTGCACTTGGAAAAAGACGGGATCTACGATATAGAAAGAAATACATATGTTAACATATTCTAATATACCAACAACAAAAGAAAAGCGTCACCTTCATTAATCTTGTTGGGGTATTTTTATTGTAGTGTAAACGCATTGGTTCTAAAATAGTCGATCTGGCTTGAAAATGAAAACGCGGTCTTTAATAAAATCAATTCAAATAAAGATCGGTTCGACGTCGTTCAAGTGTAAGCGGACCTAATACTACACCAGCCCCCATACTTATTCAAAGGTAAAATGGGTGCGATGGAAATTCTTTTCTGAGGCTTTGGTCTTTAAGTTTTGTTTCATGTGGTTCATTTGTATACATGTACTACTTTAATGGTATTTCAAATAACGATTGATATATCAATTGATTGACGGATCAAAAACCGCAGATCATATAACTGTTCATTTACTGCATATCTAAATTAAACGAATGCCATATCATTTAATTTATATATTTGCAGTATACTTAACTTGCGCAAATTGAATTTGGGAATTTAGGAAAAAATAAGCAATGTTATTTACCAATTAATTTCGTATGGGACAGATGGCAGAAAGCCTTTGAACAGCTTAAAAATGTAAAATGCTAGAAATTATAAAATTGGTATTGATTTATTGCTCGTTTATACCTCTAACCTTTTCGCATTTAAAAAGGTCACCTTCAAATGATTAGTTGAAATTTTATGAGTATTTATTAAGAGCGTCGCTTATAATTAACACTTGAAAAAATAATCAGGTCAATTCTATATTTGTGTTACAAAGGTCAATACATCAATCATGTTTCTCGATCACATTCACCTGCCTGATAAGTACTTGTCTATTTAATGTTTTATATATAGGACTGAATTCTATCAATCCCTCAAGGA